GGAGATATACAGCCCACAGTTTGGCCAAGGATCATACAGGCTTACAGCTCCTTTGCTGAGGGACTTCAGCCAGCCATCACCGAAACCTGAACTCCTTTTTCCCTGGAATTCTACAAAGCTCTGCTTGGTAAGGGTCTCTCGCGGAAGTAAGACGCCATTGGTACTGGGTGCAGGGGCTCCACGCCAACAGAGGCAAGTACAGACTGCCCAGATTAGAAATTAAGGATTTCCCCATTAGTTAATTACAGTTAAGAAGATAGTGCCTGTTCCCAGTGAACAAGATTGCAAGAGCCAATAGACTGTTAAGAAAGCTTGAAAGTACCTGTTTGTTTTCATCAATAAAGAACTTTGTTGAACCTTTAAGCAATCTAAAGACTCTGTTTGGGGGAATCCAAGAGCCTTTAATCTGATGTCTGAGGTGGAGTCTCCATTGGCCTGTAGAACCCAGTTTAGGTGGTTCAGTTCATCTTGAAGGAGGTGGTTCGCAGATTCTTTTTGCACGGTGTTCCATCTCCCAGGAGCCTAATTTGCCTTACTTTACAGTTGCTTGAGGTTGCTTCCTCTTGCATTTTCTCCCAGGGCTGCTGCAGCTTTGCAAGAGCCCTAAAGGTTAATAGTATCAGAGTCTGCAAAGCCAGTCTGCAGGCCTCCTTTGCAGCTATTGGTTCAGAAAGGTATCTTTTTGGGTCTAGGGACCGCCTTTTCTCCCAGGCAAGAGATCTCCATTTTGGAATCTCCCTGCCTTTTCAGTTTTTAGAAGAAAGGCTTCAGACGTGCTGACTGTTAGGCAGTTAGCTCTGGGATAACCATTGCAAAAACTACATTATAGATAAGTATTAAGCTATGTTGAGTTAATATAGATAGTATATTGTGTATTGAGCTAAATTGGGATATCATAGATAAGCTTAATTGAGAAAATTGAGTTATATAGTTATAGAGAGAGAGTCTTTACTGCTTTGTCTTCAGAACTAACCTTAAGTTATAGATAGGGAAAAAACTTGCCTTTTTTCTAACCACAACGGCTTAGGGTTAGGGTGTAAAGATTCCAGGATCTTATCTGCCATCTGGAGAAAAAGTTACCTCTGTAACTAAAGAAAAGGAAGAATATCTCTGTAGTTTCATTTATTGACTGTTTGTTTGCAATTTTGATGAACTGTGCCAAGTTTTCAGGGACTTTGTATAAATATCCTTTTTTGATGTTTAAAACCAGTAATAGTCTCAGTTGCTGAGTATCTCAAGCTTTTCAAGAAAGACACTTGCAGTTCGCTCAGACACAGAGAGAAGCACGGGCAGACGGCACACATGGTCTGACAAGGCTTTAATGGTGCTTCTTTTTTGACTTGGGTGATGGTTGGAGTTTTTACGTAGATATCTATCTGTGTGTGTGGGTTTTCTGTAAACGGTGTGACCCAATTGTTGATCTGGTTTGCGGATGACTAGGACATCTAGAAAAGGCAATCTTCCTTCATTTTCTTTTTCCATGGTGAATTGGATGTTTGGGTGGATGCTGTTGAGATGGTCCAGGAACCTGTTGAGTTCTTCTTCTCCATGGCTCCAAATGGTGAAAGTGTCATCCATATATCTGAACCATTTCGTGGGCTTTTTTGTTGCTGTTTCCACTCTGTCAGAGTGACAGCGGGCCACATCGGGAGATTTTCCGAATCTAGGATGGAACGGGCATTCCCACCAGAATGATCCTTATATATGTCCCGAAAATATACTTCCCAGGACCCTTTCTATGGGGCGACGGACATAGTTAGATATACATGATATAATGTGCCAGAAGGTAGCTGGGCCTTTAGTTTGAATAGGTTTAATGAGCCATGACTAATTGTTTTTCGAGTCTTCCTTTTTTTCTGAGCCAACAGGAGCTTATAGAGTCTCTTCTGATGGAGAAGCTCTTGTGCCGTTATTGCTGAATTATTTGACTGAAAAGCCTTGTAGGTGGAAGCAAGTGATTATTATTATTTATTTTGCATTTATGCATTCCTTATCAAACCAGGATTTGGAGTGATGATGACGTTGCCTCTGTGGAACTGTGTTGGAGCTTCTTGGGTTATTGAGTTAAAGTCCTCCAGAAGAGCACTGGGGGTTGTAGCATATGTCACACCAATCCTTAGAGTCAGTAGCTGTTCTGTCGCCAACAGCTCAGTAACTCTTTGGTTCAACTCTGGCTTTTCCAGGCTTTTCCAGCTGGATGTATGATAGGTTGGTAACGGTCCACTATTTCTTGAATAGGAATGGATAGTTCGAGAAGGATTGGGAAATGATCACTATCGAACCTTGGCATTATTTATTTATCGTGTCAGGAGCAAACCAAACAGTTGTATTGCATTTTAAACAAACAAACAAAACACAACATTTGCAAGCTTGGTAGTTGATTAAATGTCCTTTGACCAGTAGCTGGCCACTTGGAGTGCCTCTGGTGTTGCTGCAAGAAGGTCCTCCATCGTGCATGTGGCAGGGCTCAGGGTGCATTGCATCTGTGGTTTGCTCTTCTCCACACTCGCATGTCGTGGATTCCACTTTGTGGCCCCATTTTTTAAGGTTGGCTCCTCATCTCTTGGTGCCAGAGCGCAGTCTGTTCAACATCTTCCAAGTCACCCAGTTTTCTTTGTGCCCAGGAGGGAGTCTCTCATTTGGTATCAGCCATTGATTGAGGTCCTGGGTTTGAGCCTGCCATTTTTGGACTCTCGCTTGCTGAGGTGTTCGTGTCTCTGTAGATCTTAGAAAACTATTTCTTGATTTAAGTCGTTGACGTGCTGGCTGATACCCAAACAGAGGATGAGCTAGAGATGTCTCTGCCTTGGTCCTTTCACTATCGGCTGCACAGACACCCCGTGATAATGCGGCATGTCTCATTAAGAGCCACATCCACTTTTTTGGCGTGGTGAGATGTGTTCCACACTGGGCATGCATACTCAGCAGCAGAGTAGCGTAGCACAAGGGCAGATGTCTTCACTGTGTCTGCTTGTGATCCCCAGGTTGTGCCAGTCAGCTTTTGTATGATATTGTTTCTAGCGCCCACTTTTTGCTTGATATTCAGGCAGTGCTTCTTGTAGGTCAGAACCTTGGCATGACTTCCAGGTATTTAGCATGTGGTACTAGATCCCTCGATATGCCAATATAATTGATGGCACTCATTTTATGTCCAGAGAGATAAGTGAAGTTGGCTGGGTGGTCTCCTTCTGGGGCGCCATTTAATATGTGGAGGTTTAGCCTGGCAGTTGTTTGAGCCAGGCATAGTCCTGCAAAGAGGTATAGATCACCTCAGAAATTTAAAAATGTTACAAAAATGCATTGAATAAGTGCTGGAAGTGAGATCAACAAACAGGTATTTTTTTCCAGGCATGGTGGACCTGCCCAAAAGCCAAAGATTTTTGGAATACTATTCAAAAAGACATACAAAAGATTTTGGAAACACAAATTTAAAAAGAATGCTTGACTTTGAAAGAGAGAAAAACCAGGAAATACTGTTTAAATATCTAACTACAGCAGCCAGAATTGTAAATGTTAAAAAACACAGAAAAAGACTTTAAAGACTGCCAAAGACTAGATGGAAGTCAACATTTTTTATTTTTACTTACATTTTTAATTTTCTCATTTTTTCCCTCTACTTGCTGGGTATTCTCCTTTTCTTTATATTCTTCTTTCTTCTTCTTACCACAACAAATATGTTCTTCCACTTCTGATGTAAAAATTCTTTTATTTCAAGTTTTGCAAAATTTACCAATAAAATAATCTTTTTAAAAAGAGGTATAGATCATCTACAGGCTCAGGAGGGAAAGTCTTGTGTTGTCTGTAGAGAGAGATGTCATCAGGGCCCATCCTTGCGTCGAAATCTCCCCCCAGAACTACCAAAGTGGTTGGGTTTTGAAGTATGAGTTCAACAATAGACTTTTCCAATTCCTTCCACTGGGCTCTAGTCTGTGTTTACCTCCTCGAAACTTTGTGTTTTGTCTGTTTGTTTGTTTTGTTAAAAATGTAATACAACTGTCTGGTTGCTCCTGACACGATAAACAAATAAATACCTCCTCGATGGGGGCATATATACATTAACTACCACTAGTGTGCAATGTTGGAATTGGAGCAACACGGCCAACAGAACCTCTGAAGATGGCGGTCACAGATGCAGGCAAAACATCAAGAGAGAATGTTGCTGGAACATGGCCATACATGGCTTATCCCAAACTATCTGGCAGTGGAGACTTATATAATCCAGTTCTAATCAGATAACCTGGAATCAGACCCTGAGATATAGGACAATGCAGAAGGGGCCTCAAGCAATGTTGGAAATGTGGCCACAAAGCAAACAGCCCCCTTTCAAATATTTAAACGTAACTAGAATGTTCTCTCTTAATCTTTACTTTTCTAAAAACACCCAAATAATAATAATAATATTTTTTTATTTATCGTGTCAGGAGCTACCAGACAGTTGTATTACATTTTTAACAAAGCAAACAAACAAACAGACAAAACAAAGTTTGCAAGATTGGTAGTTGATTAAATGTCCTTTGGACAATAATAATAATAATAATAATAATAATAATAATAATAGGACATTAATAATAATAATAATAACTTTATTTTTGTATCCCACCACCATCTCTTCCTGCTGAGCAGTCTCTATACTCAAACAGAGATGAAAACAACACAATAAAATTTTCACAAATACAAACGTCATAAAACAAAACTGTCAACAAACAACCGACAGCCTAATATAGTGGCCACTGGCCATAGACTAAGCCAAAGGGTGAGGTAGGGGCTTGTGCAATACAGTTGCAAGGATAGGGCTGGTGGAAAAGTGCAAGAGCCAGATGGTAAGTCTGGGCTAGAAGGGCCAAATCAAGCAGAGCAATACAACTATAGGTCAGGGACAAAGGTTAAGTGCAAGAGGCAGATATGGAGCTGTGGCTGGAGAGGCCAAAGTATCCAGTGAGCTGGTTAATAAAAAGGACAGTGGAACATCCATGTTTTTACAGTAGTTCTTTGTGAAAAGTGGACAGGGTGGGCGCTAATCAAATCCCTGAGCTATCCTCATAGGGATTCATGGCTTCTAAACATTTGATCATGTTGGGTCACCCTTCTCTGGACATATTCTATATTGTCAATATCCTTCTTGAATTGTGAGGTCCAGAACTGGACACAGGGTTATCCAGTGAGGTCTGACCAAAGCAGAATAAAGGAGGATATGACTTCCAATGCGAAGTTATAGCCTCCTTTATCTGAACCTTGATAGTCAAAAATGAAAACATGTTTAGGCAAGGCAAGGCATATTTTGAGTTGCAGTTTTGTCAATAAAACCACAAACTTGGCATAAAACAGTTATTATGACACACTGGATACCAAGATCAGCCACAGACAACTGGCAACTGCCCTTTATTTACAGTAAGACCCCTGTTTCTGCGGAGGGTATGTTCCTGGTTGGATTGCAATAACAAAACGGTGGATACAACCAAATGTTATTAGAATTATGTTTTTCAAACATTTATTATTGTTTGCATGTAACATTTATTCTTGTTCTCTCCTCTTAATTTCCTATATAATCAAGTTAACTTTCTCTCATTTCTTCTTGTTAAGTTTTGCTTTCTGTTTTTCACTTTCATGGGGGTCTTATGCCCCTGACCAGCACATCTGGATGGATAACTGTACATTCGTTATTGTTTTGAAAAGCTAAATGCTAAAAAGCAAACAATTGGAAATGCTTGTGTAACACCAACTTATTTATATTTTAAAAACGTGTATCCTGACTTATACAATTATTATTTCACAGAAGAAATCTGGTCTTCCATTTGAACCTGCAGCTGAGGAACCACTTTAAGGAAGGAATGCCTCTAATTCTCTCCCATTCTGCAGTGGCCTAAAGACTACTGAGTATACATTATCTCAGCACCCTTCATAAATACTCGTGTTCCATCAGTGCATCTTTCGGACCACAGTTCTCCCCACTCACAGAAGACAGAGACTTTATGGAGGTTCAATGGGTTTTCTGACGTCTATCAACAGATATCACCAAGGGAGGCCTCTACCACATATAGGGAACTATAGGGTTTTCCAGTATGGATTTTCTGGTGGAATATCAAATGTGAGCTCTGTCGGAAGCATTTCCCACATTGAGAACATTCATAGGGTTTCTCTCCAGTATGAATTCGTTGATGCCTCTTCAAGCTGACTCTCCGAGTGAAGCACTTTCCACACTGAGAGCATTCATGGGGTTTCTCTCCAGTGTGAATTCTTTGATGCTCCTTCAAGTGATGTCTCTGAGCAAAACACTTGCCACACTGAGAGCAGTTATAGGGTTTCACCCCAGTATGGCTTGCCTGGTGTCTTACCAGCGTACCTTTCTGGCCAAAGCATTTCTTACACTGAGCACATTGGTATGGCTTTTGTCCAGTGTGACTTCGCTGGTGACGTAACAGGTGCCCTCTACATCTGAAGACATTCTCACAAGTAGCACATTTATGCAGTTTCCTTCCTGTAGGAACATTTTGGGATCTCTGTAATGACTGTCCATGGCTCTTGCGTCTTTCTCCATCTTCAGGACATTCAGCATCTTTCTTTCTTGGGTTTAGATCAACAAACTCATCTGACACATTGTGGTATTTTCTCCCATACTTGGAGAACAAGGCATTCCCCATGTCTGTGGAAGCTTTATTATCAGCAGCTATGAGGCTTTTGGTGTGTTTCCTCTCTGTCTCCACTAACTGCTTCGACTGTTGATCTCTGAGCTGGTATCTCATCTTAAGAATGGATGTCGCAGGCAAACTCCACTGAGATGCTTCGGCTGGCAATGACTCCACCTGAGGAGATATCTTCATCTCTTTCCAACATCCCTTTTCATCATCTGAAGAGAGAGAAAGTGGACATTTATTTGTAGTTAATTCAGACTGCTTTCTGTATTGTATATGTGTGCATTGGTATGCTGTTTTTTGCCAAATGTGTTTTGCTTATGGGATTTTCCTGCCGTTTTCTTTCATGGTCTCATGTGCCTTGCTACA